GTCCAGCACTCGGTCTTCGGGCTCTCCAACTGCTTAAGGGGCTCGAAGTCACGGCTTTCGTCGCCGTTCACCACATAGTTATCGCATTTACTAAACGATATAACGATTGAGTTTTGAGTCAAGCGAACAGTTCTAGTCTTGAGATCCGAGTGCTTAAGCGACGGACTCATTGTGTAATGAGAAAACTGAGAAAACTTTCCGTTTCGTTACAGAGAACTTAATGATTGTTTACAATAAAGTTTTACAACTATTTTCAAGTGAAGAGAAGAAGGCATTGAAGGGAACGCAGAGAAGAAGAGCGCATAACAAGAAGTTATGCGAGTCTTGAGTGCAATCACTTCTCAGCCCAAACTGGAGAGTGAGGAGAAAGAGACGCTTGTGTTGTGTGCAGTGTTTGGCGAGAGTAACACTATTTGTCTAATAATTGAGGCAAAAATTCTCGTGGATATACATCACGAAAAAAGCCAAACCCACTAACACTAACCCTACAGGTTATAAAACTGGATAATAATAAACATACAGGTGTTCGCAGCCCTGCGCTGGTGGTAGTAGTTGTGCTCTAGAGATGTGTTTTCCAGAATAAATACTGTTTTACTCAATACAGTAAACCTCTCTGTTATACAACTTCTGTCGTGTTTATCGGCGTTTGTTTTTTCGCCAAAAACTAAACCAAACATTACTTACAAATTCATACAATTCTTACAATACATTGCGTTTTCTAATAATCATTTATTAGGGGATAAGAAAACAGTGAAAAAACAATTTATACAGAAAAGTCTAATTTACCACATAATGTACGCCAGAATGTAGTTTATATTCAATTTACAACTTTTATTATACAATATTTACTGTTTTACAAAAATGTATTAATTATAAAATGCATTGTCTTTTGACAAGTTTTTTGCTGCGTTTGTAACACTTTTTTGGGGTTAAATTGTGTGTTAATATACACTGAATTTTGTTGAATGAAAAAATACTGTTATATTTTTTGTTGTATTTGCACTTAATATACAGAAATAAATATAAAATTTTATTATTTAATCGAAGAGAACAGGAATTGTATATTATTTTGGGAGTCATTAGGAACTGAATCGAGAGACGGGTCACCAGATCTGCAAATATATAAAAACAAACACAAAAATGCTTTAATTTTATGATTATTTTGTGAAAAATCATTTAAATATTTAAATTTTATTTATTATTTGTTTTATTTGTCACAATTCTATTCCATTTCCTATAAAATAAAATAATAAAAATCATTTCCAAAAATATTTGGCAATATTTGCTATAAAATGTTTGATACCTTTTTGTGAGTTCGCATTTCAAACCATTTAAATATATTATTGAGTTTATAAACTAAATACTAATTCAATCAATAAATACTAATCAAATGAAACCGCATAATCAAAACTAAAACAATAAATTTTGTTTTCAAAACAAACAAATTATTTATAAATATTTTTTATATTCAATCTATTAATCGATAATAACAGTCAAACCAATCTCTAACGTAAGAAAGCAACTAAAATGTCTTTAATGGTAAGGCTTAAGGCTATAAACGAGTGATGAATATCTTAAAAGCCCATCTAATTGTTAACTATTGTCTTAATTAACATAATTATAGTAACGGAATGGAAATGTCTTGTAATGGTTTGGTTCCAGATCTAAACAATTGTTGTTTATTAGGACCAGATTTAGAAAACCATTCATTGCTTTTGCACTATTCATGTCTCAAATCTTTATTGTAACTAATGATCTGAGGTTATAGATAGTGCCCAACAGTTTGCAGTAAATAATGCATTATTTATTCATAACATAGATAATAACAAAACGCAAACTGTTTTATATATACCTTTAAAGCATATCATGTATTCATCATTTGACACAAATTGGTTCCACTTTTATGGCTAATAGTTATCATTGGCTGTGGTTTTGGGTGTAATAGTATTCGCTGTGACTGTAATCCTGTTGATGAGACGGTCGTCCATCATATGAGTATCGACTCCCATAAGCCGGCATTTGTCCTACAATTCCATCAGTCATTGGGTTTGGGTTTTGATTAGGGTTTTGGTCGACATTTTGTGCCATAATTTGATCAAATCTATCGGCACTGTTGTAACGATTCATTCCTGTCGAGTGATGGGGCGGACGATTAGAGCCCCTGTTGTGTCCGCCTCTGCCTCGAAAACCATTACCGGTATTAAACGATTTGTACTCATTCTTAGGCTCATTCTTGAACACGGGTTTAGTGTCACCGAATCGGTTAGGATTCCGCTTAAAAAATTCCGATCCAAAATTAGATCGATTCCTATATTCAGCAAAACTTTTGTCCTTTCGGTTAGGTTTGACGTTCCACTCGTTTTGTCGGCTTTTGGACAGCCGTTGAAGCGATGCAATGCTATCGCGAAAGTGAAACACTGAATACTCTTTAGAGGCACCCAAACGATGAAATTCTTGATTAAAGAGTCGGACGTATCGCTGGAAAAAGGACTCGCATTTCTCGTTACTCTTGGCGTTCGCGAGATTGTCTCCAAATAAGGCAAACCCTTTGACGCCCGCATACAGAAGCGTCAATAACTCCGTTTCTGTCAAGAGGTGGGCGCTGTCGATAAGCGCGCAATCGATTATACCATCGCTTGTCTTATTGAATACATCGTTAAAGACCTCGTCGTTTGCAATATCACAGATGGAACCGATAATCACCGGACAATTCATAACCAATCTTCTGGCGACTCGAATATCAATCAACTCTTTGATGTGTCTATCCTTAACAGACAGACCTTCTATAGGCATGTCTTCGTTATAATACTTTATAATCTTATCGTAAGACTCATCTCTGTTGGCGATATCTTCAAAACCCATCTCTTTATTCATTTTTCTAATCACTCTTCTTATGTCCGACTTTTTGTGAGAAAGACAAACACCATTGCTCTCAATGTGATACACTTTGATCTCATTCCTCTTCAAGAACTCTATCGTTGATTCAATTTCAGTGTTTCCGCTGTTAATGATAAGCAGTTTCTTCACTTTCATATCGGCTTTCTTTAGTAATTGCAAAACAGTTTCCCTAAAAGCTTCAGTTTTGCCGCTTTTGGGTCCGCCAGTAATGGCCACAAAGCGGGAGAAGTCGGTCTGCGGCAGAGCGCACACGTCGTACGCCTTCTGAATGGCGTCCTTTTGAATGTCAAACAAGTCGTTCCTGTCCTCCAAATTGACAGCCATTCCCGTCAAACCAATCTTGAAAATGGGTTTTAAAATTTGCCCAAAAATGGCCGCAAATCTATCGCCTTTAAGTTCATAGCAAACTCTGGCCTCTAATAGATATTTCTGAACGCAAATCAATGGCATCACCGAAACACTCGTTAATTCTTCGCCGAATGGGTGACAATAAATAATGACTTTTTCCACCATAAATACATCCTTGTCTTCGCTTTGACTATCAATAAACTCTTTGATCGAATCGCTGTTTGTGTAGTCGTTTCTGTGGATCAGTTCCGTAAATACTTCGTTGACAATACCAAAACGGTGTTTCGATTCATCACTGGTTTCGTACTTTAAGACAACCATTTGTCCGAATTTAAACTTGGATTCGCTCTCAGTATTGACCCGAATATGTGAGCAATTGATAAACGAGTCGTTTTCGGTCAACTTCTGGCAAACCATTTGCTCGTATTGTTTGTCGCCTTTTCTGCTCTCTTTGAGAGCCGACCAAAACTCTCGGATCACAAACGGTATGAAAGCGTTGACATACGAGTCGTGAGACCGGAACTGAATCTCCCGATTGTGTGTCTCTTCTCTAAACAATAGCTTTGACTTCTGGTCTTCAATGAGACGCGAATCCAATTTGCAAAACAATGCCATAAAGTCTTCAAACGTGTTGGGAATTAGATTCAACTCAACGTTCGCTTTGATGGCCACCTCTTCCTTCTTCTTGCGGACAGTCTTTGGCTTAATCTTCAATTCAGACAATCGTTTCGCGAGTTTCTCTCTGTCTTCAAACACATACTTATCGTTCACGTCATTGAACGCATCGATGTCTTTGGCGTCCGTTAAGAGGAGATGACTAACAGCAGCGGTGGTGACCACTGGATCGGTGGCGCCATTACTGGTCCCACTTGCCTTCTTCTTCCTCCTCTGTATTATCCGCACAGTGTTTGGGTTACGAGTGATGAACAAGTCATGGATCAGCTCAACGGTGGCGGCGGTGGTCACCGCGTGTTGGCTCTCATCAAACCAGTTGTTGACGACATTACCGGTCGAGTCGTTGCTGTTGTGGTTGTCTTCAGTGGACTCGACTCGAGTGATGGTTGTCTTCAATACGGCTGAACACATGTTTCACTGCATTTCAGACACCAATACGTGAACTAAAAACACATTTTATATACAATTAAATCATTAAAACAATGACTGAAATGAGGGCTAAAAATGCTTTACAAATGAATGAATGAATGAGTGATTAAAAAGTGATTTCACGTGTTTTTCAGGCACTCAATAATATTGACACACTTTTTGTTCATAAATTACGTCCATTTGTTGTATAGAAATATTAGTATAGAAATGAGCGCTAATATCGTCAAAAGGGTCTCAATTTTGTAGTGTTTTTTAATGCGTTATTTATTTTTATTTATTTGCAAAGTTTGGGTAAACAACACAAGTGTTACACAATTAGTGTATAAATAACGTTTCGATAGAAGGAGAGGGGAGTCGTTAACACATTATTTGATTAGTGCTAACCCTTTGGTGTATATAAAGGGGGCAATCGGGGGACTAAACACAGGTGAACGAGCTTGGTGAGTTTAATTACTTTGTATATTTATCATATGATTTCGATTACAGTTTTGATTACAATTTATTATAATTGTTATATAAATGTGTGATATATTTAATTAAATTACTTTTTAATAATGAGTTTAAAGTTATTGAAAACTTTTGGACACAAATGCAAACTATTTAAAGACTTATTGAATAGACAGCACTTAACCATTGGTGGGAAGCGATGGGCGAAGATGTTATCAGATCCCGAGAATCGGGGCGAACGGCAACAACACATCAACTTCGATACGTTGGGCACGTGGTATGTGTTGTCCACATCTGGTCCATCATATAATCGCTATTTACTACCACTTTAGGGATAATCGCATTGACTTTAATCTATTGCTTCAGCAGAGCATATCACATCAACTTCGATACGTTGGGCACGTGGTATGTGTTGTCCACATCTGGTCCATCATATAATCGCTATTTACTACCACTTTAGGGATAATCGCATTGACTTTAATCTATTGCTTCAGCAGAGCATAAAACACGGCAAACCTATACCCAAGATATCGGCCGAAGACATCGGCTTTGCCACCGCTTTGGGCAGAAGAATGACTAACGAAGACATCTATAAGTAAACCGATAAATACATTGTCTCTTAAGATGAGAAATAATTGAAATGTTTTGTTTGCCAATAGTGTGACAGAAATTGATACAAATTTGTTATATTTCGGTGTCTTTGACGGACACGGAGGACAGGCGTGCGTTCAGTACTGCAACGATAATATGATAACACATATCAAGTATTGGCTCAATAGGGATGAGAAGGACTTGCAGTTTATTTTGGAAAACTCTTTCCTAGAATTAAATAACTCTTTCGCCCGATTCGTGACATTCAATCCGTTCGGTAATTGCTTTCAAATACACTTTATTTTGCCATAAATTGAGGCCATAATTAGGTTATGTTGATAGTCGAGGGCCGCAACTCGTTTTCGGGAACCACTGCCACAGTGTGTTTGTTGAGGAATGGCATTGAGTTGGCTGTCGCTCATTGCGGTGACAGTCGAGCCCTGTTGTGCAGGAATGGCGAAGTGATGCGTTTGACGACTGACCACAACTCTAACGTTACGGCAGAAAAAGAGCGGATCATTACAAGCAATGGTTTTATCAAAAATGATAGCTTAGGCGTCGGACTCGTCAACGGAAGACTCGCGATGACGCGAAGTATCGGTGACTTAGATCTGAAACCATACGGAGTGATAGCACTGCCCGACACCCGAATCATTGAAGTAATCATTAATTAATATAATATAATATAATCTTATGATTAAAACGCGAATCAAATGCAATTGAATAGATAAAACACGGAAGGGATGCGTTCGTAATACTGACCACCGATGGCGTCAATTACGTGATGAGCGACAAGGAAGTGGTGGATGCGGTGCAGAGTTGCGGCAAACCGTCAGAAGCGGCCCAATTCGTGACGGATCAGGCGCTGCACTACGCGTGTCAGGACAACGCCACGGCTTTGGTGGTGCCGNAATATCTATACAATCAGTTACAATGAATTTATAATTACTTTTATTAAACTAATTAATGCTTTCGATTACAGTATTTAGGATTTACTCAAAATAATTATATATTAGATAATGAATTGTATGTGAAGTGAAGAAGTATTGAGATTTGAGTGGTGTTTGACATCATATGGAATATACAGACGATTAGTTTTTAAATTACATAATAAGGATTAAATCTAAAGACCAAACCAGTGATCAAATCAATCGATTCATTCATTTTTTGCCGGATTTGCTCTGTTTTTTGGGTGGAGACCAACGAAGACAATTGTTCTCAACGGTAAGCCGCGGCCTCTTGTACTGAGCGCTCTTCAAGTGCTCCTCAACGAGCTTTGGTGTGACACAAATCACGTGCTGTCCCTTCCAGTACTTAACCATATTGAGCGACTGAAGAGTGCCGATGATATCGTTTTGCGTGATTGAAGTCATACAACTCAAGTCGCGGATGGAGAGCACACCGCGGAAGTCGCGCAGAATCTCCAACAGAATCCACGACCAATAGCTCCTATAACTCAGTTTTCCCAAATCCGAGAGCGGTTTCTCCGGCGAACCCACAGATTGTTCCAGTTTTGAGAGTTCGTAACTGAAGGCGATTAAGAACTTGCCGTAACCTTTGCGCTGATAGGGAGGGAGTGTCAGAATGCAGGCCAAGTTGTTGCCGTCGGGCGACTCTTTCTCCTTCGAGAAGTAGCCCACAATATGCGCCCCGTGTTTGTCCACTTCGCACAGGATGTAGAATATGAACGGTTCCACATCGAAGAACAGTGTCTTGTGGTCGAGAAACAGTTTGGCCAATAGACACAGATTCTGACAGTAGATCTTATGGTCTCTGCCGTCCACTTCGTACACAGAGATCGTCGACTTGCGGTATATCTCTCGGCCCTGCGGTTGACGCCAACAGCAGTCCGACTGATGGTAGCGATAGGTCTTCTCGAGTCGCATGTATTTCAGACAATACTCGCAGATCCAGAGTTTGGGTTGCTTTCCATACTCTTCGGGAAAGGGTGAGAAATACCAGCAGTCGATCTCATACCTCCCGAACTGAATGCGGTCAACGTATTTCACTTTCGTGATGGCCTCGTGTTCGCGCTCGAGGGCTGCGGTCGTCGGATCCATCTCTGCCAACGTCTTCTGGATGTGATTAATCTCATCGTGTTTTCGCTTCTGATTGCGCGTAATTTTTCTGTCCGTCCCATCAATCGTGTCGTTATTACAGCAAATATGCGCCCCTTTGGCGGGCGTTTCAACTCCTGGAGTGGCGGGCTTTGCGGCCTCCGGTTTGACGACACCATCTGCGGAGGCGGAACCGTTGGCCGCCGTATTATAGTTGTCGAAGCGTTCGTTTCCATGGGTAAGCAGGTCTGCAGCTAACTTCGGGAGCATCACCTGCATTATGAGAACCGCAGGCAAAAGCGTGCTTAACCTGGCGTAAAGATAGTGAAGGCGGCTTAGATTGGTAAGTAAACCATGTGTTTTAGAGAGCAATCGTTGAGTAAATGGTTAACACAATTGCGGCCACAAATATCTTAGTCTTACGCCACGTATTGTCCGATCGTTTAACCATCAGATGATCACCGATTTCAGGGACCAACTCGTGGTGCTCTTCGGCTGCGGCGACGGCAGCGGCGGCCGTGCCTTTCGTCTCCTCCATCTGTTGTGGCGATCGATGTCTTCAATGGCTTTCAATCAATCAATTTCTTAAACTATTCAATGAATCAAATGTTTTGTAATAAATATCTAATAAATTAAATGTAAATAAAATGTAATTAAAAAACAAAATGTGTTTTAAATCTAACGAAAAGTAAACGCATTTTTATCGCACTTTTGTTTCAGTTTTGCACTGAAATTATGCCCACAAATAACGTTACGCTCACAAAGTGTTCACAAATTACGTGATCATTATATGAGAGGCAAATTGAAATTGAAATAAATTAAGTTTAAATTATGTTTGTAATTGTTTTGTGTTTTTTATTAACAAATATATAACAAGATTTATAACAAATTATAAAAAACAATTAAATAACAAATAAGTTGACCAAAAAATGGGGTTAAAATCGGGTACTATTGGAGAGTTCGCGGCCAAAGTTGTAGAACTGGTTGTAGTCTCTGCGGTGGTTCTTGAACTTACCCCACGCCCCGAACGGCACCACCAAAGCCGTGGCGTTGTCCTGACACGCGTAGTGCAGCGCCTGATCCGTCACGAATTCCCGGCGAAGACTGCCAAACGGCGTTGAGACGTGGCGTAGGTGGTGAAGGAACAGCGAGTAGTGCATTAACTGCGGTAGCCACCAGTCATAATGCTTGCGTAGGGAAGGCACAAAATAGATAAGTTAGGCATTTGATTCGCGTTTTAATAATAAGATTACGTTATATTAATTAATGATTACTTCAATTATTCGAGTGTCGGGCAGTGCTATAACTCCGTATGGTTTCAGATCTAAGTCACCGATACTTCGCGTCATCGCGAGTCTTCCGTTGACGAGTCCGACGCCTAAGCTATCATTTTTGATAAAACCATTGCTTTTAATAATGCGCTCTTTTTCTGCCGTAACGTTGGAGTTGTGGTCAGTCGTCAAACGCATCACTTCGCCATTCCTGCACAACAGGGCTCGACTGTCACCGCAATGAGCGACAGCCAACTCAATGCCGTTCCTCAACAAACACACTGTGGCAGTGGTTCCCGAAAACGAGTTGCGGCCCTCGACTAAAGACATAACCAAATTATGGCTTAAATTTATGTCAAAATAACGTGTATTTCAAAGCAATTACCGAATGGATTGAATGTCACGAATCGGGCGAAAGAGTTATTTAATTCTAGGAAAGAGTTCTCCAAAATAAACTGCAAGTCCTTCTCATCCCTATTGAGCCAATACTTGATATGTGTTATCATATTATCGTTGCAGTACTGAACGCACGCCTGTCCTCCGTGTCCGTCAAAGACACCGAAATATAACA